CTTATAACACAAAATTTATCAATTTTCTCCAGACCTTTTTAAAGAGATTTAAAAAAATAATTTAGTTTATCAAAGTGTTTTTGTATGGTGATTGGTTACGGAGAAAATTCAAAACATTGTTAATTTAAAATTCCCATGTTATTCTTATGGAGAATATTGTAAAATGTTGTACAGTAGTTGGCTTGTTTATGGATATATTTTGATCAAACTTGGCGGATTTATTTATTTCATAATAAGCTATTGATATTTTAATAAAAACACACTTTATTAGTTTCCCTGTAGCAGCTAACCTAGGTACTCGTTAAATATAAATGTTAATTTAATAGATTAATTGAAAAACAATCCAGGCAAATGGAAATACGCTTAGTTGGCAGGTTTGCTGCAGCGGGTGTATTCAATATAATCTCTCTTCGGTCGGAATGTTAGGTGTTGTGGAACATGCTTGTAGTGAACCTGGCTTTTATTCTTGAACTGTTTGAGGCCTCGTTCATATGTTTGTGCAGCTTCAACCAACAACAACTAATACCTAATGCAAATGACAAATCAATACTCAAATACCCCCGCCGCAGCAAACCTGCAGACTAAGCGAATTTCAACTTGTCTGATTACATTTTTACAAAAATATTTTAATAAATAAGACATATTTATTCCCAATTTAAATAACATTAGATTTAACAAGTGCTTAGGTTTGCTGCTACGGGGAAGGTAAAAAGTGTTTTTTGACCATATGTCAATAGTACAGGATGAAATAAATAAATTTGCCAAATTTTATCAATATATATCCATAAACAAGTAAACTACAACAGTTTTCATTTTCTCCATAAGAATAACATGGGAATTTTAAATTACACTTTTTTTAAATTTTCTCCGTGACCGTTAGGCATACAACAGCGCTTCAATATACTAAATTATTTCTTTTTTGAAGCTCTACAAAATGGTTGAGAAAGAAATTGCAAAATGTTTTGTTTTTAGGGTAAAAAATGGGAAAAACCCATTTTTACCCCATAAACCACTGTTCCCATGGTCCGATTATGCTGGTTCGCGAACTCGTTAGAATAAACATAGGTTTACACGTTTGTACCAAATTTCATGAAAATCGGATCATTTTTACTAAATGTTATGTTAAAAGTTATCGCGCTAACAGGCACATATATATATATGAATTTGAAGGGATGGTGTTTTTGGTCTCTGGGGACCTCAAAACGAAAAAGTAAATCGGTTCCGGGTCTAGGTCTTATCATGAGACCTACGGTAATAGCTTATTCCCTATATGGGAAATTCGCTAAAAGCAAATACTGTCTGTTATGTGACGTTTACATCCATTGTTGTTAATCAACGAATCTTATAAGGGATAATCATCGATCTCTATTAGAGATCGATGGGGATGATGAGATCTAGTTTAAAGGAAACGTGACCTTCCTGTGGCAGCAGCTGAATAAACGGTAATTATTCTTAGTGCCAATTCTTTTACAGTCTAAGTGCAGTGTTATTTTAAAAAATCTCACTTAAGTGTAAGATAGACAATAGACAATATTTCTTTATTTACATAATTCATAGAGAATAGTAATGTGTCAACAAATTTTTGATGGTTAACTTAAAACTATTTACAACATTGCAGGGTTGAGGGGAAAATCCACTGGTGCTGTTTTTTTTCAGGAATTTGGCTTCCGTGTAAAATTGTCTGTCCTGTAGCCATGATGTCAATTTGTTCTTGAAGTGTGGCAGTTGTAGTGACTTGAGCTGCTCAGGTAGATGATTGTAATACAAAGCTCCTTTGTACGCTGGTTTGCTTTCAAATAGGCTGAGATTGTGTGGTAGCTAGTTGTAGTTAGTTCATACCTCAGGTGTGATTCAAAAAGGGCAAAGTAAGCTAATTTAGCCACGTCCAGGCAACTTATTTGCATTATTCTGCGAATCACGTAGATGAATGAAGAAAGCTTCATACAAAGTTGATCTACATGTGGTTTCCAAGTTAGTTTTGAATCAATCATAACACCTAGGTGCTTCCTTGTTTCTTTTAATTCTACTTGAGTCAGTGGTATTAGTCGTGTGTTCTTGTTCTTGGTCGCGAAAGCCATTTGTACTGTTTTTGTTTCATTTAGGACTAGATCATTTTCTGAGCAGTATTGTTTAGTTTGATTGAAATAGGTGATTGTGTTTCTTTCTAGCATTACTGCTTGTTTATCAGTAATTGTGAGGACTGTATCGTCTGCATACATGACTGTATGACAGCTGCTTTGAAGCCAGTCTGGCATGTCATTTGTGTGAAGGAGGAATAATACTGGGCCGAGCACAGAGCTTTGAGGCACCCCTCTTATTACATTAGCAGTTTTTGAGTGGTGTTGTTGTTGGTGTAGTTGATCTCAACAAGTTGTTTTCTATCTTTTAGATAGCTTTCAAACCAATCTGCTTCTTTTCCTTTTCTTTCTGTCATGCTTAAGTTGGAGTAGCTGGGCATGGTTTAGACAGTCAAACGCCTTGCTGAAGTCTAAAAAGAGACTAGTGACCATGCAGCCCACCTTCCCTCTCTTAATTGCATGTTAAGTGGATCACACGATACGAGCATAATGAACTTCTTCTGCAGATGAATAATCCGCTCATTAAAATGGCTCTGGCCTAAACTTTTTTGTAGTATCGAGTTTAAGCATTTTTTTATGATACTATCTGGGTAAGTTACATTGTATTTTTTTTAGGCTGCTGTTCGGTGACCTTTGAGACATTTTTTAGAGATAGGTAAATTAAATGGGTTTTGTTGCTGAGTAGCGGTAGTAAATATGCACAACCCTTTTCGTTGGTTTAATATAACATTCAAGGGCTTTATATTATGTTTTCACTAAGCTGAATGAATACATTGAAGTGACCTCTCTGGAAAGTTTGCAGTAAATTGTAATTTTCCAAATTTATGACTTTACATACAAATTATTAAAAATTTAATCCAGGTACTGTAAACTACTATTAATTTAACAAAATATGGACATGGCTCATATTGGCAATGTGCCCTTCTGCACTTGTATTATTGTGTATCGAATAATTGAAAACACGTATGAAAATAATCTCATGAACCTATGATTGTCTTGAATAATATGACAAAATATAGGTAAAAGTGGTCAAAAAGGCATAAACCAATCCGTACAATAGATATAAGTTAACTTGATAAGAAATACAGTAGTTTTAAATGTTACTGTGGTATTACGATTTTCCACTGATTTTGTAATAGAACGTTGTATTACAAAACATGACATGGATGCAGAAGTAAATCAATGTTAAAATCAGAAAAAAACATTGATGCATTATTTCCTACATAACAAAAAAATTTGGTACTTTTTCAAAAAAGAACATATGTAGCCTATGTAGAATTTTTTTTATAATTTTATTTTTATGAGTATTTAAAAAAGATTGATATTTATATGTTGGGAATCGTATTTCACACAACCTTTACATTTAGATCAAACGAGTAAAAAAAATATTTTGTGGTTTTCTTGTGGGTTGCTTTTCATATTTCTATTTTGCATAACCCGAAAATTTGGAAACCTTTCGCTACTACATTGCTAGAAAAAAATATATCATTATATTCTACATTTATCACTGAAACAGAATATATATTTGTGTATACAACAGTTTAGGTACTTATTCTCCATAGTTTTTTTTTTAATTATTGAAAAATTGTATGTTTTGAGTGTCAAAAAAATAAATTTTACCCAATAAAAAGAACCACAAAACACCATTTAGAATCACATTAAAATCATTAGAATCACATTAGAATCACACCACATTAAAAGCTTCTTACAAATAATACTACTAATGGGAAATAATTTTGATTTTCGAAAACTTAAAAACTTTTAAAACCAAAGGAGATTAATAACTTCTGTACTGAACCACATCAAGTGAAAGTTTTTTTAGCAAACCGTAGTAAGTTTTCAAAGCTTTACGTTGTTAATGTTACATGTTACATGTTTTGTGGCCTGTGTATTTATTTATGTATATATTTGCCAACAAATTAATTAACACCTATAATACAGTTTGATTAGAAGGACAGTTTGAATTAGTCGTAAGTACTACAGTTCTTTTCTCAAATGTAAACGTTGGTTTTTGGTACCGGTACTGCTACTTTTCCTTAGAACCGGTGGTAGCAGTAAGAATAATTTTTACATACAAACACATCACTATTTATTTATAAACACTGTACCTTATTGCTTATTAAATTTAATTGATGTCTTACTGTAAAATTTTTAGCGTTTTCTGTCTGGACTCCAAAATGTTGTGTGGACTCAATTGTGTATTTGTGTGTGTATGTCTATTGGCAATGCATTAATGTCCTTATTTTTTGTGGAAAAGACAAGAGCACCATTGTTAATAAAAATTTCAACCCGCAGAAAGTGTGCAGTAGTGAGGTTGAGGTAGTGTTTTAACTACTTTTAACCAGTGTGAAAAGTAACTTTCCATTACAGGCCTACCTTAGGGCTATGCCTCATAGATCTATACTGTAAAGCAATTCCTTTCATCGTTAGATATAAAATATGGACTAACACGATCGGGTGACATTTAATTGCGAAGCATTCGTTTTGGATTTGAAACTGTCAGATATTGTATTTGAGAAGGTTTATATGTATTCCTAAACAGTTATAGTTTTGCCATCATATCTGGAAAAATGCACACTAAATATGCAAACCAACTCCTGTTCTGAATATAAGGTTTTAACTTACTACAAGATTCCCGTACGTAGAACGGGCAAACAGCTAGTTAACAATGAATATTAGAAAACTAATGTAATATAAAACACACAATGTCAACGAGCTAAAAGAGGTCGGTGGATTTTTGGCATTGAGAACACTAAAAGGCTTTTATCATATCAATTCTCTCTCAAACATTAGTAAACACTAGAAAAAAATTATGTTTGATGTTTTTGTTTTGAGAAGTATGAGCACTATCACAATTTAAATAATTCAAGTTTAAGTAACCATTGATAAAGCTTAGAGGCACAAGGTAGAATTCACAACTCCTTTGTAGTAAATTTATTTTATTAAATGTACATTATATTATGCAAAAAATCAATGAGCATTTTTAGTTTTTAAGAATATAAACAATAAATATAACAAAACTGATATAAGCAATCATTTACACCATATCGATATACTCAGTCCAAACTTAAATTTATAGGGAAAATTAGGCCTACCAATAAACATTTTAGGAAGCATGAAAATACTTAATTATACACCTTATATACATGTTCGATCATTTAAATTTATATAAGTCTTTGTTATTATAGAAAAATAAATCCAGTAAATTGTAAACAATGATATAAACAAACTTAAGGTTCGGGAATAGAGATGGTAACTTGATCAGTGGACAGAGTAGGAGGTTCGGGAATGACGGGAAGACAAGGAGGAGTGGAGGGGGGACGGGACGTCTCTCCCTTGGACGTAGTCGGGCGAGGAGTGGGCGGCAGATCAGTCCTGGCAGTCTCGGAACTGTGGAAGAACAAACTACGTAGACTAGACATGGCCGAAATGCTAGGCCTGAAACAAACAGAATTAACATTAGTTGATAAGTTTTACCTGAATATAGACAATCAGAGAGTCAAGTATGATTATTTAAATGACATTGCAAAGGGCATAATGTTAACAGTGTCATAATGGTAAAATAATTACCATCAATAAAATATCTTGACTATGGACTCTGCATGGAGGTGGTGGAATTAATCTTGAGGGAGGCGAAAGAAATTATCTATAGTAAGGAGCAATGTTAATTAAATACTTTTTCCACCTTTTTTGTTAACTCAAGTTGAATTTTTAAATTCTTGATTTTTAATTTCACTAGAGATATTTTTAGAGAAATTTTAGTAAGCAGTGTTAGCTGACCTAGAGTTGGAAGTAACACTGTCGGTGGAGCTGCCTGAGTGTTTCTTGGTAACTTTGCAATGTGTCCGCTCAGCCTGTATGAAGCTGACATGGTCGTCAAACCTGACTCTCTCAGAACCTCCGTCCTCTCCACTGTCACTGGTCTGTCTGTCTACAGGCAGCTTGCGTCTGGCCACCTACACACAACAAATCCACTACAGATTCCTATGCTTTGTGATGGTTGATAAATCAAAACTGGACCCAATGGTTCTTGGTATTTGGGCTAAAGAAACAGCTTTCTGTCTTCCAATGTAATTATGTAATGTTAGTTTTCGCCCCAATAAGGAGGCAGTAGGAACAGTGGCAGAACGAAGGTGGCTACAGAACTCCTAGATAAAATTGTAGTATTTTCCCTGGTTTTTCCTGGCAGTAAATCCTGGATGCCAAGTGTACCTTTTTACAAGGGGTCTGCAGGTCCACGGTACTTTTAGTTCCGGGCCCGAGGAAAACAATGTATTTAAGCGGAAAATGATTATCACTCAAAGCTTGAGTGTCAAGCTGAGTCTAGCACATGTTCCCTCCTCTTCAGAAAGCATTAGTGAACATGCAAAATTGAAAATTGATGATTTTCCTATGATTGTGGGAGATGAAATAGGTTTATTGTCTTTTGAATACAAACAAATTATTGACAATGTCATGAAACAGCCAAAATTATAGCATAGTCAGTGATTGAATACAATATAGCTAACTACACAAAAGGAGACAAAGGAGTTTTTAAATATTACAACTAGTGATGGGCGGATCCAATGTAAGATGATGATGTCTTTGAGACCGCGGAAGCTATTCACGATTATACCGCAACTTTGGAAGATGTTTATGGTTTTGCCGAGACCGCAGTACATTAATTTGACCATAATATGAAAGAAGCTCTTTATGTTACCATTGATTTTTACCGTTATTGCAGGAAGATGTTCACAATTTTGTCGTGACCACAGACAACATTCTCGATTGTGCTGTAAGGATGAAAGATGTTTATAATATTACTGTGACCACAGAAACCCGTTCTCGATTCATAATAGTTGTGTAACAATTCCTTTTACTTCATGAATTCCCATGCAAAATGCTATTTCCTCTGAAAGCTAACAAACAAGTGAAACGTTTTTGAAGGGAGGTTAAATAGTTGTTTGGATTGAGGTCTGTATTGATTGGGTGTGGATCAATTTTCATTACTGTATTTGTATTACCTTGCGCATGAGTCCAGAAGCCAGCTCCTCCAGTGAGCTGAGAGACATGTTAGCATCACTCCTCATAGACACTGAGTCTGCAGGAGTGTCTATGCTGAGCCCTCTGTAGTTTGACAACGAACCTCCATCAACCTGTAACATACAATACTAGTTGTAGCACTTGACTACAATCGTCACATCTAGAAGTTATCCTCAGAAAATCCTATTGAAACTGAATTCCCCTAACTTTGAATAGGGCGTTGAATTTCATGGGATGACGATTAATTTTAGATTGGTTTCACAATTAAGACATTTAATTGCGATTACCATTAACTTAAAAAATTGTGTCCTATGGATGAATTTCCTTGATATTATTTTTTATCATATTCAGTACAGAGTGGCATGCACATAGTCACATTGAGGAAACTGCCACGTAACGCAGCAACAGCATTATCTTATCATCATTGATCAATGATATTTCTTATGTTTGACCATGGTTTTGACTTTTTGGTTTACAGTTTATATGGGTTTGCACCTTAAAGTTGAGCACAGAGCCAGCCAGTGCCCGTGTAGACGCTCCTCCGTCGTCTGCTAGAGACTTGGTGTCGGAGAGACTAGTAGCATTTGACGTCGTCTCACTGGACAAACTGAATCTCTGACTTGATGCTACATCAGCTTGCACCTCCAACCTATTGAATTTATCATTTTAATAATAGATTTCTATTCAAGTAAATTACAATTTGGAGAGGTAACTGATTAACTTAATTAAAATCTGATGGCAAAAATAAAGTAGCCAAAGTTCAGAGTCTCAATAATGTGAACTTTGGTTATTCAACCTTCTGTGCTATCCAATTCTCCCTGCCCGTCAATAGAGTACAGTGGGGTCACAAAGTGTTTCCGTGTGGTATTACAATGTGCTGTAACAGGTATATCGAGACAACCTCTTTTGCCACCCCTGTATTTCAGCTTGAGGTATCTTCAATTGACTGTACTTCTGATTGTTTTACACACTGTATTCGACACAATTTGTCTGAGCCCTTTATCATTTATACCTTTCATTTCTACTATCCCTCATGTTATTGGATTAGTATCGCTTTATCTTAATTTTTACACTTCCAGTAGTGTTTTTTTTACTTAGCATAAAAAAGTGTTGTGTTGATAGTGTTTTTTTTTATGATATTCGTTATGGTCGATTATAAATGAACAAATTATTTAAAAAACCAATTGCTTCAAATTCAATTGTTTAAAAAACCAAAAAGATATAGGGAAATTCACTAAAACATCAATAAAAAAAAGTCAATAAGCATAAAGATTTAGATTTAAAAGAAATTGATTAGCATATTTGGAAATGTGTAAAAAAGACAAGAAGAAAGAATTTGTAAACAATTGGGGCTTATGGTGATATAAGGAAGGAGACTAAGATGAATACCTGGAAAAAAATGGATTGATGAGGTAAATGCAGTTGAAAATAAACTGCAGGGCGACAGGAGATGATCTAGAGGCCTAGCGATGCCCAGACCTGGGGATGTTTGGAATGGAAAAGGATAAGTACATGTAATTGTATGTAATTGGGAATGGTGGTGATCACTAACCTGTGGCCGCCGGGCATTGAGGAGATGATACTGCCAGCCAGAGCCACCATACTGGCAGACTCCCTGTCAGCTTCCCTCTCTAGCTGACTGCCACTGCCCAGAGACAACGACACCTCCCCTATACTGGGGTTACCTCCGTGGTGACTGACTGTGTCAGCATCTGTGTAGGGGAAAATAGCTGCCATTAATGATGTTTAGAACCTTACAAGTTAAAATTGTATGTTACCTCGTTGAACTGTACGTTTGTGTGATGCTGCAGCTAACACGAAAACCTCAATAGCTCATCAATACGGTTCATTAAGAAGAATGAAAACAACAGTGTGTTTTGCTAAGGAAGTCTTGCTTTCAGTTCTTGCACATAACTTTTTTAAGTGTTTCTTCTTCAGATTTTTCAGAGCTTTTCATGCTTTTTCCTACAGTTACCTAACAATGTACATGTTCTCTCACTGATTTGAGAAAGCAAAGTGGCCAATTCGCTCATCAGTGAGACAATGTTAACATTGTCTCACTCTAATTACTTTGTCTCACTCCAGATTTGCAATGTGAAGGCACGAAAGTGGCCAATTCGATCATCAGTGAGGCAATGTTAACATTGTCTCACTCCAGATTTGCAACGTGAAGGCACGTTTCTTTACCAATTTATTTGTTTTATGGTAACAATATAATGTAGTACATGTAGTAAAACATAATGTGCAACTCGAGGGAAAAGTGCAATCGCCTCACTCGAGAAACCATTCCTCGAAAGGATTTCTCTCGAGTGAGGCAATTGCTCACTTTGCTCACTAGTTGCACAAATAACTATTGTACAAAGGTGACTCAATTTTTCATTTAAATTGTCATTTAACTTATATAAGTTTAGAAATTTTTCATTGGTCTAGATTGCTGAATATATCTGCCATTCATTTAACTGTGATGTGTCCATTAGCAAACTAGATCAAAAATCATATGATTTTTATGAAATTTGGTATAAAAATAATACTTTGTTTATTTGAAAAAGATCACAAATCAGTATGATAGGACCATAAGAACGGGGTTTTACGTGGTTTTTTTTCTCATTTTTGACCCTCAAAACAAAGAATTTTCAAATTGTTCTTTAAACCATTTTGAAGAGCTTAAAAAACAAATGATTTAGTATCTTGAAGTGTTTGTACAGTTATTAGTTATGGAGAAAATTAAAAAAATTTTCAATTTAAAATTTCTATGTGTTATTTTTATGAGTAATGAGTAAACTGGTTTTGTTTGCTTGTCTATGGATATATTTTCAATTTTCATCAATCTTGGCAAATTTATTAATTTGATTCTGAGTAGTTTAAAACTAATGTTATTTAAATAGGAAATCAATCTGACATATTAAAGGAACTATTTAAGTGGAAATCCAATCAGGAAAATGGAAATTCACTTAGTCAGCAGGTTTGCTGCAGCAGGGGCAGTTATTCTAAAACTAACAGAACTACAACATTAACATGGGAGATAGGTAATACGACAGCAACGATAAAGACCGATGAGTATGTCGAAGGTTAACATTTTCATCAGCGCCTACACCAACACCTTCTACAATACTAACTACTGCATACCTGTAGGTTTGGGGCTGATGACTCCCATGATGTCGTTTTCGTCATCAAAGTCAAACCTGACACCAGCTCCAGAGGTAGTGACACCACAGCCACCCGAGCGACACAAGGACACCGGCACAACACCGTACACGTAGAACAACAAGATAGGCACTCCTATACCTACAGCCAGCCCAGCCAGCACTGGCGATACAAGCACCTGTAAACAAACATGGCTGAATTAATATCCATAAGTAGATTTATTACAGATACTATTTTTTGGGTGTTTTACTAACTATAGGAATAACAGCATGAAGTAGAATAGGAACACCACAATAATAAAGTAGAATCTCTATTAATCAACCCAAACCAGTTGCAGAAAGTTAGGATAAGAGCAATGACGGAAAACAATAAAAGCCTTTAAAAATGTGTCTAATAATAACTTTTTCTTTTATTTTAAGGGTAATTGTATGGCATGTTCTTTGCTTTTAGTTACTTTAAATTGTCTTAGAAATTGTTAAACAAACAAACAATTTTTTGTGAATCAAAAACATCAGGTACTTTTCTTAAGCTATCCGTCATAATATTTAGCTTAAGAAAAGTACCTGATGTTTTTGATTCACAAGATTATGTTAAGTTTTTGGGTGTTTTGATTGATAAACAGTTAACCTGGTCACAGCAGATTGATCAACTAACAAATAGGCTTTCAGGAATTGTTTTCTTGTTCTCTAGATTAGTACACTATGTTCCTTTTGATTATGTAAAATCTGCTTATTTTGCGTTATTTCAGTCAATTGCTTCATATGGTTTAATTTATTATGGTAGCTCTCCTAAAATCCACAAGGTACTTCTATCTCAGAAAAAAATCATCAGAATAATGTGTAAAGAGGATAGTGAAGCACACTGTAAACCCCTTTTTATTGAATTAAAAATATTGACCATCATTAACTTATACATTTATCAATTATTATTGTTTACTTTTAAGAATAGCTTTAAATACAAAATGAGAAATGAAGTGCACAGTATTAGTACCAGAAACTGCAAAAAGATTGATCTGCCTCAGGTACGGTTGGAAAAAACAAGATCTGGACATGTTGTGATGGGTATTAGGCTATTAAATAAATTACCTCTGGCTGTGACAGATTTAGACTTTAAGAATTTTAAGAAAAGGCTGTTTTTATTTTTAGTAAACAACCCGCTCTACCGTATCGAAGATTTTTTTAGCATGTCTGATAAGTTAATAAAAAATATTTGAAATAGGATGTAACTGTGATTTAGATATAAGTTGCACGATTTTTTAATTTATTACTGTCAAATTTTTAATCTCTTGCCATGGTCTGTAACTTGCTCGTCGCTCAATTTTAATTTTAACTCTTGTATTATATTGACTGTATTAACTGAATTCCTTGTTATTTATATATTTATACATTTATTTACTCAAGACTGAATACAAGATGTATTTACCAACATTTTGACTTATCTATGCATTTCATATGTAAAAAATGATGAATAAATGTCTTATGTCTTAAACTGAGTAATGTTTATAAATAATTAAATTAATTAAGGTTTGTTATTCTTTTGTATTTAGTCTTAGCTGTTATGTATGAGCAGTATCAATAGCACAGCTCATTTTAAAATTATTATTCAGAAAAAGAATGCAATAGGTTCACAGGGCTTTATCTGCGATATCTTTGGGATGTAAGAATTTGTTAATGAACTTTCATGACATTTAAAGCAGAAAAATAATATTTCCAGATTTTGAACAGATAAGAGTTTAAACTAAAAATTTTGATGGAAATGAAAAATATTTAATTTGTAAACCCTGAGTCTATTGATAACACAGTGGAATGGTTAGTGAACTTGATAATAACATGTATTTGATATAGGAAAATTAGGTTTGTTGTTGTTTTCACAAAAACTAAAAGAGATACGAAGTAAGTGTAAATTACAAAGTTGTTGAGAATTAAAAAACCTATTAAATGATGTGCCGCTTGACATATGTTTCTATTTGAACATTTTGAACAATGGGCATTTGCAAATTTTTTGTAATTTTTATTATAAAAAAAACCTTTACTTGTAGTATATCACAGTAAAGATAATTTCATAACAAGTAAGAAAACTCAATTGGAGAAGGTCAGGGGGAGAAGGGTGCATTGCTATAGGAAACACAGAGTAAACATATTGATTTAAAAAAAAAAAAAAAAAAAAAAAAAAAAAAAAAAACTGCCAATTTGAAAAGGAATAAGATAATTAATTTTTGTTTTTGCTAAAATGTTAGTCCAATAAATACCTTTAAAATTATCTATAACATGACATATGTTTACATTCGAAAATTCAGAGATTTTAACTAGTGACCCTCAGTTTTTGGCACACCCTGTATCGGAAAAAAGTTGAAAATATTTTGACGTTATTCTTTGGGGTAGATTTAGTGGGAAATAATTTTATTAATCCTTGTACGTTAAGCTGTTCTTCCATAATCAATTTGAGACACCTTACGTGGGACACCCTGTATATAGTCATATCTAATTTTTTTTAGGTTATTGAAGAATAATAATGGACTCGGAATTACTTAAAATAATTACATCAAGAAAAATACTGTAATATATCCAAATTTCAAAAGATTATTTTTTCATATATTTTTCCAATATCCTCTTCATCATATGTTTTAACTTTACTTTAAATTAATTTATTATTGTAAATATTTACTTTTTGTATCAGTTTAAACACAGCCTGACGATGGAAACATAGTTTCTGAAAGCGGTTGTGGATTAAAATAATTTATTATATATTGGCCTTGTTGAACTTTTAAATTTAATTATACATTTCATTATTGAAGAATAGTTTTTCAAAATTGAAAGAACTTAATTCTGGAATCAGGTTTTGAAATTTTATCGGAGTCACAATTTATGTGTAGGCCTACATTTTAAACTGGAATTTTTCAACCCATGGCTAATTAACTGAGCTCAACTGCCAACCAATTAAGATAGTTAAGTTTGTCTCATGAGAATAGTCAGTCTTAATAAGTATTTTTTGACTGCCACTCACTGTTAACATTGTTATTTCTAAGATAAAAAGATAAATTCTTTATACTATTTTCAAATAATGTTTAAAGCATTTGAAACATATATCAACTATAGTCTGTTCACAATATTCAGGCAGTTTGAGGGAAAGTTCTCCCACCAGTTTTTTGTATTTTATGTATGTTGCTTAATCAGCTGTTGAGCTATTATTTTTAAGGTCCTTGTCAAGTGGAGGGGATAGATTTCTTCACCTAAAACCACCTAAATATTGTGAATGAAGTATAATACCAATAACTTTAAGATATCACAGTACCGGTATTAAGAAATAGCTTTAACACAAAAGATTAAGGTAAAGACGTATTTTCAGTAGGAACCATAATACTACAGTACAAACCATGTTTTGACAATAATATGAATATTCAGTGAAATACATTTTTTCATACCCATAGTTCAGGAATTTTTTAAAAACTGTAAAGTATAAAGTGTTGAAGACGACATAAGTAAATAAACCAAGCCAGAAAACATGAACAAAGTTACTAAAACATTCCTTCATTTTTCCAAATACTGTTGTAGGTCTTTCGTTCACCTATTAAAAAAAAAATGTGTTTATATCTCAATCTTTCACGACAGCCAAATTTCAAGATGAGTTTTCTTCAGAATTACATAATGCTTCAGAATAAAACGTTACAGCAGTGGAAACGTTTGAAAAAAAAGGAAGTGACCGATTTCGCGGCCATGAAAGGGTGAAAACGGAACCATGTTGTATGGCACGGTTTGCCCCATAAATGTGTAATCGGTACTTTATGGTTACTTGTCACCCCAATCATACAATAACCAAAGTTTGAGCCTTTCTTAAAACCCGCATTTCATCTCATTCACGACAAATGTGGACTGTATTTTTAATATTGTGCTGGAGAGATTAATACAATAATTACCCAATAGAACATAATCAACGCAGGTCCTTAGAACATCAATATTAAAGCTCTAAATATAAAAGAGCAACATATTTCCAAAATACCCGCCATGGTTATACCTACCTTTTACTCGACAAAGAGTGATATTTTACGTCGGTCAATTCTTTGATGCGAGATTATACGACATTGACATTCCATTGTTTTGCGGCAAGGGTGACGAGTGATGGGGCAATGTATCGGTTTTATTCATCCCCTTTCACAAGACTCCAAGGGATGTTAACCGATAATTAAAACAAGAGCTGCACTAATGAGACGAGAGGGTGGTAATGCGATTGCGATAAATCGATCTATCGAAGTCGACATCGGATGACGTTAGCCGCGCCGCGACATCGATAGGGGAATAGTCCCGTGAAGTGGTAAACATCGACGTCACTAACTGCGCGTAATTGGAACCTGCTCGACAGCGAGTGTTCTACATGGCGACACGACTGCAACGGCGCGGCGTTCACCACTGTACAAACCGAAATTAAGTTTTTAGTCCTACACATGCAATGAATTATTTTGAATACGAGTTCGGATATAAAAATCAAACGCTAGTAAAATAAACATTAAATTGTAAATTGATGACCATAATCCAGTATGAATAAGCTGTATTCAACAAGTAGATGTTTTCAAATTTAAAATTTCAATCCTTATTTATAAATCAACCGTGGTGAAATTTGTTAGATTTGCAATTTTAAATCAGTAATATGTATTGAAATGTGTATTAAAATAGTGTATGGAATGTATTCCATATTGTAGTAGACATTTTATGATAGAAAACTCAATTTATCATGAACATTTATTTATTTATATTATTTTTATTATATTTATTTATTTATCATGAACATTTTCAAATTTGAAATGACAATCCTAATAACATAAATAAATTCTATGTACGATAACGCGAGAAAATTTAGAGTTGGACTAAACTGTAAATTGAATTATGAAAAAAACATGTAGAAATTATTTGTCTATACCTATTACATATTTTTAGATTAGCAATTTCACTTCTGCTATACATTACACGTATAGGCATATTGTTAGCAGTGATAGCAGACAACGTATTTTGTAAACAAAACATTGACAACATTTAAATTTTCTATGAAACTATTGACGATAACAATTAATTTTACAGTTTTGCTGTACAAGAATTATACATTAGGGAAAGTGTTCTAATCGATAGTAAAAACAAAGGAGATTTTTCCACAGTGAATTTTAATATTAAGTTACTGACGAATTTCAAA